GAGGCCGCTGGGAGGGGCCCCTGCTCTTCTTGGTCAGGCCTGAACAACATGGGGCGCCCAAGCAAGCTGAGTGGGGCTGTGCCAGTTACAGCGCAGTATTGGCAAGCAATGGCCCAATCTCCTGTGTTACAGATGAGGAAAGGAGTCCCAGTGAGGTCAGTTTGTACGTGTTCTTTGTCAAAGGAGGAAATGGCCTCTCTGCCCACCGTATATGCTGCCAGTGCATTTTCCTAGTTTGTTCTTGGTCTTTGAATTGTTTATTGTATTTTTTGTCCCTTAGTGATGTTTTAAAGTTTCTGTGTAGTCACATACTATCCATCTCTTCCTTAATGTTTTCAGGGTTTTGTGGCATGCTGAGAAGGGCCCCACTTCCTAGTTTCTTCTAGAATTTATACAATTTTTTTTAGTGTGAAGAGGATTAGGGATCCAGCTTTTTTTCTCCCAGTGAGGCCCAAACAGAAGAAATGACTTCTCCAAAGTCACAGAGTGGGTCTGGCAACTGCTGGGAGGAAGGTGCCCCATTCAGAGCTCACCAAGCTGCCATGCTGTCACCACGCCAAGTGTGTGTGAAGATCTCTCCTTTAACCAGTCCCGCTTAATGCAGACTCACAGTCTCCTTTTTTGAGGGAAAACGGGATTAGGAGCTAAGAAAAGATGTTGAGAATTTAGAAGTGATTTTCTTCTAAGGGTTTATTGAATAGAGCCCATATAAGATTTAATCTAAATAATCAAAATCACTATCATAAAAGAATCCATGGGAATGATAACATGACACCAGAACTGTGACAAAAATGCTAGTTATCCCCAGACTTCTTTCTGATACTCCATTATCATTGGTTTCATTTTTTTAAACTTCCACTTCTGTTAATGGACTGAATGTTTGTGCCCCCACAAAGTTCAGATGTTGAAATCCTAACTCCTAAAGTGATGATATTAGGTAAGGCCTTTGGGAGGTGATGAGGTCATGAGAGTGGAGCTCTCATGATAGGATTAGTGTCCTTGTAAAAGCCCAGGGGAGCTCATTTGCCCCTTCTATCAATGAAGACACAGTTAGAAGGTGCCATCTCTGAACCAGGAAGTGGACCCTCTCTAGACACTAAATCTGCTGGTGCACTGATCTCGGAATTTCCAGCCTCCAGGATTGTGAGAAATAAATTTCTGTTGTTAATAAACCACCCAGTCTATGGTATTTTGTTACAGCAGTCCAAACAGATTAAGACACCCTTTAAAATTTATATATTACAAAGAGTTTTAAAATTAGATAATATAATTTTAAAATTTATAATATAATACATTAATATTATATTTTTTTTCTGAGAATCTCATTAACTTTACCTTGAAATAACTGAAAACACCACAGGCTACTGAAATACCAATATTGGAAATATCTAGAGGATAAAAATTGACTTTAAAAAAATGTCATATTGGACAAATATTTTGAATATCCAATTTGTTTGGGCTGATAATTCCTAAGCTTTTCTGTACTAACTATATATGAAATTAATATAGCTTTACGTAAAAGTTCGGGAGGAGGAGGAGGAGGCCACAATAATCAACCACATCGTACACTGACAAAATAAAATTTGGAAGAAAAAAAAAAAGTTGGGGAAAGGATACTAGAGGGGTTAGAGTGTAACATACCAATGTTTTGCTTCCTTGGATCTGGTTTAGAGCTCATCACAAATTAGCAAAGGGCACATGTTTTATGGCTTCAAACTAAAAATTCCATGTGAGTGCTTAACAAAATACTGTTTAAAGTACTGCAAATGTATAGCTCAGTTTCCAAAACTGAGCTGAACACAGCTGAGGAGTGAAGTGGATTAATTGGCCCAAAATGATTAAAGGGTAATTAAAAGCAGTTACTTTGAATTTAATGCTATTTTTCTTCATAAGCCTGAACTCTAAACATGTATTTTACAGCCAATACATTTAGCATCTATTTTTTTTT